CCATAATTATTTCCTTCCTGCAATGCACATAGGAAGCAAAAACCTGTTATCACAACCACTGTATTATCATAACCATTGCAAGTATGGGTTCTACATATGTAGTCATGACATTTAGATTCATTTTAGCATTTATCTTCTACTAAAAAGCCCCTGAGATAAGAACTTGTGCAGAGACAAAAAGATAAATATGTACTTAGAACTTGAAGTTTTTGAAGTTCTATACCTTTAAACATCTGCATTAAAGATTAAAGAATACATACCTAAATTGGCACAGAATAATTCTGGAAGACAACCTCCCTTGAAACGAAGAATCAGAATAAAACATTTAAAACTGATTTTGATAACGGTGGTATTTAGTAACACTTTGTTTAAAATAATACTTCTGATGAAGTTTGTCTTTTGAAAAGAACCATGTAAGCTTGAATTATATACATACAGACATATGCATACCTATGCATGCTGACATACCAGTTCACATAAGTTTGAACAGAATATATCTTAACTAAGCAGAAATGTCTAAATAGCATTAGAAATCCATAATGATCTTAATAATTTCCTTTCAGGCTACATTAAAAAGGCAGAAACTAAAAAAAAGAAATTAGTCTGGAATGTCCTACAGTAATGACACAAATAAGAACCACCATTATGTAGTGGCTGAATAAGGTGAATCATAGAATCACCAAGATTGGAAAAGACCTCCAAGACCACTCAGTCCAACCATCCACCTATCACCAATATTTCCTGTTAAATCATGCCCCTTAATACAACATCTAAATGTTTCTTGAACATCTCCAGGACACTGAATCCATCACTTCCCTTGGTATCTTGTTCCAATACAAAAGCACTCTTTTGGGGAAGAAGTTTTTTTCCTAATATCCCACCTGAATCTTCCCTGGTACAACTAGTCCTATCACTAGTTACACGGGAAGATAGTCTGTCCCTCACCTCACCACAGCCTTCCTTTAAGTAGTTGGAGAGAGCAATAAGGTTTCCCTAAGCCTCCTCTTTTGCAGACTAAATAATCCCAGTTCCCTCAGATGTTCCTCATAAGACTTGTGCTCCAGCCCTTCACCAGCTTCATTCCCCTTCTCTGAACATGTTCCAGTGTCTCAGTGTCTTTCTTGCAGTGAGGGGTACAAAACTGAACACAGTACTGGAGATGCAGCCTCATCAGTTGTGAGTACATAGGGATCACTTCTCTGCCACTCCTAGCAGCACTGTTTCTGATACAAGCCAACATACCATAGGTCTTCTCGGCCACCTTCTACATAGTCTTCCATCCACCCTGCTCCAAGCCTGTAGCATTGCATGGGGTTGTTGTAGCCAAAGCATAGGATCCAGCATTTAGTCTTGTTGATCTTCATCCCAGTGGCCTCAGCCTGGCAACCTGGCCTGTCCAGGTCCCTCTGCGGGGCCTTCCTACCCCCAGGCTGATCAACACTTCCTCCCAAGCTGGTGTCATCTGCAAATTTCCTGAGGGTGCACTCAAAGCCCTCTTCCAGATCATCAATAAAGATACCAAACAGGACAGGCCCCAGTAATCCCCCTGGGGAACACCACTTGTAACTGATTGCCAGATGGATATAACTCTATTCACCACCACTCTCTGGGCCCAGTTATCCAGCCAGTTCTTTACCCAACAAAAAGTGCACCTATTGAAGCTGTGGGCTGTCAGCTTCTCCAGGAGAACACTGTGATGGTTTTGCTGAAGTCTAGGTAGACTACGTCAACATCTTTGTGCAGCACACTATATTGCATTATCACTTATATCATATTCCTTTCCCTCTTCTGCTTGTTATAAGTCTGATCTACATTTTAATATTTATGCTTCATTGTATATACAAAACTAGATGCAAACCACAACATAAGCATTTTCCAGCAATAGTAAATAATGACTTTTTCAGCCCTTATTCATCTCTATATGTCTGTTTGTATTACTCATTTTTGTATTTATTCAATTTGTGCAAAGTCTGCAGATAATAAGTAGCTCCAAACTCAGTCTCCACATACAGAATTTTCGTAAATATTTGCTACATCATACATCGAAAGACTCTCAGCAGAGACCGAAAACTTAAAAGCTATCTATTGATATTTGTAAGTGCTCAAAACCAATAGTGACAGGATGCTTAGAGAGGCCTAACCTAGCATGACCACAAATATTGTCACTAAATGAAAGATATATATAGAAATACAGAGAGATCTTTCGATAGAGTCATGCATGGCTTGGTTTGGAAGAGACCTCAAATATCACCTAGCACCAATTCTCCTGCCATGGACAGGGATGCCACCCTCCAGATAAGACTATCCAGGGCCCCATCCAACCTGGTCTTGAGCAGCTCCATCAATAGGGCATCCACAACATCTCTGGGTAGCCTGTGCCAGTGCCTAATCGCTTTTTAAGTAAAACAATTTCCTGCTAACATTTAACATACATCTTCCTTCTTAGCTTAAAACTGTGCCCTTTCTCCTAACATTACCTGGCCAAGTAGAAAGACCATCTCCCTCCAGTTCATAGCCTCTCTTTAAGTGCAGTACATGGCTCCAGAGCCTTCTCTTCCCCATGCTAAACAAGCCCAAGCTCCCTCAGCCTTTCTTCATAGGAGAGGTGCTCCAGCCCTCTGAAAATCTTCATAGCCATCCTTCAGACCCACTCCAATATCTTTGCATCTTTCTTGTGCTGAAGGCCCCAGGCCTGGATGCAACAATCAAGATAGGACCTCACAGGAGCAGGGAGACAATCATGTCTTTCACCATTCTGGCCACCCCGATGCAGCCCAGGATGCAGTTCATCTTCCAGGCTGCAGTCACACACTTTTTCATCCATCAGAACGCCCAAATCTTTCACAGAGCTAATCTCAATGAGTTCTTCTCCCCGTCTTGTACACATACCCGACGTTGCCCCAACCCTAGTGCAACACCTTGCACTCAGCCTAACTGATCTCATTAGGTTCACACAGGCCCACTTTTCAAATTTTGACCAGGTCTCTTTGGATGGCATCTCTTTCTTCCGTTGTCTCAGCAGCACCTCTCAGCTTTGTGTCATCGGGAAACCTGCTGAGGGGGCACTCAATCTCACTATCCAGATCATCAATAAAGATGTTAAAGAACACTGGTCCCAGGGCAGATGCTCCTGGGGTTAACTGCTTGACACTGCCACACAGCCCTCCACTTAGATATAGTACCACTGACCACAACTCTGAGGCTGACACCATTCAAATTTTTTTTTTTTTTTTTAAACATACTAAATAGTCAACTCTTCAAATTCATCTCTATTCAATCTCTTGTCAAAAAAGAAAATAAAAAATAAAAAATGAAGAAGAGAAAGGAAGAAAGAGAAAGACAAAGGAAAAACACTACTCTGTTCCTCATTATATCTCTTATTTCCTTTCTATGCCTTGGACACGTCCAGTACTACCTAACCACTGCATTATTAACCAATAGGAATTGTGTGGACTTCTCTAGTTGGAAGATTATATTGGTAACTGCTTGTGTTGAAAACAGATTTTTTTTAAAAGAAATATTTGTATAATGCTATCCGTCTTCTCACCCTTCACAAGAATACAATTTCATTCCGGAATTAAAACCGATCAAATCAAAATAAGACAATGAAGAATAACAACTTCCAATAAGGCGTAATTCTGCATGTCTCCAGAATCTCCTGGATAGTACTTACAGTATTTTTCTGGGCCTTTTCCAGATGAAATTAAAACCAATCAAGTTTTTAGCTTCTACATCAAACTTAACAATCCCAAATCAGTTACTACTGCTTTATACAAATATATTCGTATCAAACAGATTCATTCCACAGAATCAGTTTTTCAGAACTGGGAATTGAGTATAGCCATTTTGAAATTTTATACCTAGGTGTTGCTCCAAAAGTAATGCCTCCTGTGTTATTATGCTAGCCCCCAACATCAGAGGGGGGATGGGAGTGGTACAGTAATAGGAGGTTGAACCTTTCCACCAATATTATTACATTTTGTTGCTGTGCAACAGGTGGCAACAGAGGGGCAGTCTGACAAAAATGCTGTCTGACATGGAAGTTAGTATGAAGCAGGTATGAAACTGAATTTCTCCACATGGAAAAATGGCACCTTTTGACATTCATCAATGCTTGGTGAACATTTACGGAGATTAAGCAGTGGATATGAGCACAGTGAGGTAGTGGGTGATGTTTCAGCACCTCCACTGGTATAGATTTTTGAGTGTAGCATGCAGGCTTTTTTGTTCAGTGGTGAAAATTCATAGGTAATGGTAGTGACTATGATGAAAAAGATTTTGTAGCTGAGAATTTGTTTTATCAAGTCATGGCGTTATTCTCTCTCTCTCTGTTGTAGTTCCTATGGAAATAAATAGGAGGCATTATTTTGGAGCGATACGCTTAAATATTTTTACATTGCACACCAAATTCTTATGAGAATTATATGGAATAAGAATTTGGTGTGCAATGTAAAAATATTTAAGCTTATCACTTGAAAAATAATTATTTACTAAAAAACTGCAAGATATTACAACACTCATGCATTATCAATAGCATATTCAGTAAAACAAATTAAATATTTGTCTTTTAAGGCATTGATTATGTTTCTAATAGAAACGCAAGCTTTATCTTGACATATGTCAAAGTAACACTGCAGTAGGACAGTTCTTAACAAGAACACTTCTTTAATTTTTCTTAGATCAGATATCCAATCAGATATCCAACTTTCAGAAAGTTTGTTTTTGTTATTCTACACTATTATACAACACTTTTTTGTCTGGCATCTGAGAGGCATTCCCATTCCTCGCATTTAGTTTATTTCACTTTCTCAGACCTGAAGCTGCAAAAGCACAGCCTCACACAGATTTTCATGGCAAACTGTCATTCTAACTTGGCACATAAACTCACTTTAGTACTCACTCTGAGAACTTGAACACTGAGATGAATTTAAACATTTATACCAAAGAAACCGATTAAAACTGTTAACACAAAAGAAAATTTAAACAATGTAAGGCATTACTGAAGTAGCTCTTCTTGCGAAAGCTGTGATGTTCTTTGCATGCCAGTCACCAGTGCCAGCTCATCTTTCAACTCTTGGATCTCTCTTTTCAGCTGAATAATCATCTACAAACAACAAAGCATAAAACAAGCATCACCTAAAAATGATTAATTACGTTATGACTTTTATACTAGAAAGTAGACATTAGGGAATATTTGCTTGAAATAAAGAAGAAAAACAAAGTAATCTCTTTTCTCTTTAAGAACAGCCCAAACACCTTAAATATACCCAAGTACAAGGAAATTTATCCAAGTCATCCAGACTCAGTAAACTTCCTGTTAGAAGATATGGCTGTACAGAAAAAATTAATTTGCCGTAAGAGGAAAGTGAGCAAAAAATTTAGTTTTGCCTGCTAGTGATGAAAACAGACTTAAGATGGAACTGATGTCTGTCAGAAAGAGAACTACATACCAAAAATGATGTTCCCCTTCCCTTCAGAAATCAGGAATTCCAAAATAGTATCTTAGCATTTTAATCTTATATGTAATAATCCAATAGTAACTTATTAAAGCATACTTTATCTATACAAAGTATCAGTTGCTAACTAATAAAGAATACTATAAATCAACATAATGAGAATGGAATTATGAATAGTAACGATGGTAGAATTGACATGAACTGTGAAAGATCTTTAAATTTGAATAGCTGATTACTAGAGGCTGTACTTTTGGAAAGAAAGTTGTATTAAAGTATATTTTGGAAATCATTGCCATTCTAAAGTCAAATTCCACGAAACAGAAACAATATGCAAGCCTAAAATATGAATGAACAAGTCTTTTTGGTTGCTTGGAGACTGATTATTTTAAGAATGCATTACCTTACAATGGCTCAGATGTATCAGAACTCAGTAATTTTTTTAGATGGATATGAGTGCATAGATGGTCAAAAGACTTCTGGACATTGTCCTTGGCAATCAGCTCTACAGAGTCCTGCAAGAGCAGACATTTGGACAAGATCCCTGGGAATATACTACAGGTAGTTAAGGTGGGCAACAAATTCCACAGTGAGCACATAGTCACATAAAATCTAGATATCTATGTTCTCCTGCCTTTTCCACAAGAGGGGTTGGATTTGTAATCCTCCTGAGTCCACTTTTGCTTTACTTGCTAAATGATCCAGCAGAGCAAAACATACCAAACTTGTGGAATATAGCTGTACAGGATGTAGTAAATGGTCAGGAGCCTGCATGTGTTCCAACTCAATCAAAGACTTCTGTGACCATGAAAGGACAGTTTTTCATGATTAGCTATTATAAAGCAAAGAAAGAAACAACAGACAGAAAGGAAAGATATGCTCGTTGCCTTCTTTTTTGTCACTGTTGCTGCTCTCATGCTCTTGGAAAGCAAAGTTAAGCAAACAAACCCTGAAATCATTTTTTCATCAGACATCTCTCTGTCACAGAGATAATGCTGAAATCCATCTATAGTTCTTAATTATGTCCATATATACAGCTTCGGAATGATAAGTGTACCCTTACCTCTCACAGATCTCTCTTATTGTAACACCCTTGGCATACATCATGCAACCCAGCTGACCCAATAGCATATTGTTATCCACCATAGCATGCTGAATTGACCAATCCTTAGTAAATGTATTTAATACTTAAAAGAAAAAATTTCACATAATGCAGAAAATTACATTAAATCTAAGTCTTATAAATACGGTCCTTAACAAAAAGCTTTCCTACATCTTCAAACACCCTACATATAGAAAGCTAGAAGCATATAAAATACTTCAAAAGACTAAGCAATTGTTAAAAAGAAAATAAAGCAAATTTTTGTTATTTTTTTTCTTTTTTAATGTGGCAATGCTTTGTGCTTTATCAATGTAAATTACTTCCTCTGTCCTTTCCTGCCCTTACTAAATCCTTGAGCAAGCTCAAGGAGGAATTGTATCTGTACGATTCTTAGCTTTTTAATACATGAACTGTTCCAGTTTGCCTTATTTCTATAGACCTCAACTGTGGAAGGGTTCTATGAATGATTTAACAGTAGACTTCCTGTTTTACAATTCTATTATGAAATTTGTAAAAACAAAAGCATATTCTGAAAAAAGTACTTAGAAATTCTTAAATAACCAATTAATAATGATACTCGAAAAAAACTAAAAAAAAAAAATAGAGATGATGCCACAGCTAAATTTTCATAGAATAACCTTGTTACAAACATTTTTTAATGCAGATTTTTAATTTTTGATAGACAAAAAGCAAGATAAAATAGTCGGCATGTAGTTGGAGTGTATAACATGATTATATGACAAGAGCTGCTGGTTGAATCCTAACTCAAAACAGGGCTAAATATGACACATTGCTCAGGGCCACATTCATCTGCATGTTGGTTACCTCTAAGGATTGAAATTCCATAGTCTTCTTGGAGAACCTAATTAAATATTTAGCCACATATATAGCAAACATGCTACATAACCCCTGTTTTTTTTCCCCCCAGATGTGTAATTAAAATTTAGTTTCAACATGTATCCATTGCCTGTTGGCCCATCATAGCATATAATTCAAATTCTTGCTTTGTCTTATCTATACTCTCACCTACTAGGGAAACATAGTAACAAGATTCCTTTATTCTGCTTTGCAGCACAACTTCAGCTCTACTGAGCTCCACTGATGTCAATTTATTTATACAAGACCTTCTACTTGCTCTTTACATTTCTTGCTGGTTTTACCTTCAGCTGTGCTTTGGCTTAACTCTATATTTGTTAGGGAACTATGATCAATAAATCGCTGGATTACTTGCACCAAAGTGTGTTGCCCTTCATCATGTTTTAGGATGGTCAAAATCCACCATGCCAGATCATACATCATGCTGCTTGCTATGCCAGAGATGTCCCATTTACTTTAACCCTATAATGTGCTAAACATACTCTGAAGGACAGACTGAGTATCCTAATTTCAAAAGTGCTTAACATAGAGCAGCTGCAAATACCTTAAAGCATGAGAAAAAAAGTTATTTACAGAACCAAATACAAGAACCATCAATCACCTGTAGGGTAAGTTTCATAAAATATGTATTATAATATCAAAGCTATATTAATTGCATCCATTCCAAATACTTACTAAGGAACAAAACCTAAAATATTAGCAAGTGCAATAAAGTTCAAAGATATCAAAAAAGTGTTACCAAAATGGTAACACATCCAGACTCAATTGAAATCACTCTTACTTTTTTCCTCATTACAAAAATCTAGTTGTGCTAATGTTGGTATATTGTCTCCCTAATGCACTGTCATTACTAAAAAAAAGAAAATTGTAATGTAGGAGTTACATTTGGAATTGTTTGATCTCAAAGCACCTACTGAAGTAAAAACTTAAATTTAAATGACTTCACAACATTTTTATCTTCTGGGAAGAACATATTTTCTTCTTCCCAACTACATTTTTTTTTTTTTTTTTTTTTTTTAAATTTTTTTACAGACAATGACAAATAGAGAAAAGTGAGAAGCAGTTTTGTGTAAAGTAAAATTCATTCTATTGATTTTGTAAACAACAAAAAAGTAACAAGGCTACAGTGTTCTTGAGAAAGGTAAAGCAAAGGAGAGAAAAGGGTCTGGAGAATAATTCATTCTTGCTTTCTACGTACTATTTAAGTTTCAATACCAACTAACAGGAAGAATTTATTTGGAGAAACGCTGACATCAGATCAATTCAGTTGGTGTAGCATGGTATTAGAGATACCAAGTCACCTAAATATGGGATACTGAAAATCAGCTTTTTCCACCAAACTTCCACAGACTCTAAGGACAAAGCTAGGTTAGAAGCATAGCTGACACGATGGTATTGTCACAGACTAACCCCTAGAAGAACACCAGTGCTGCTATAAGTTTGAAACTGCCACAAACCTCAAATGAGAAAATTCAGGGGCATCTACATTGTACAGCCCTGTGTGTTCATACCTATATTGCTAGCTGTTTTCAAGTTAACTCAAACAAGCAATACTTCTATGACAATTTTAGTGGTTGACTACATGGAAAACACTATTGGGAAAATAATTAACACATTAAAGTCTTTAATCCAAGGTAATGTGCAAGTAAGTAAAGGAAAAAAAAAAAATATGATCACCAAGTGACGAGTAATTTTGGTATATTTTTAAAGAATTCTAGGGACATCCGATCATGTGTGGCCATGATTTAGAAACTACAAATCTAAATGAAGCAATAGAAAGATTACAATGAATATCACCATTCAGAAAGCCTTTAGGGGTTTTATCTTAGTTTAATTATAATCAGCTCCCAAAGGAAAACTAAGAATAGTAGTTTTAAAGAAAAGACTGAAACTTGCAACAAAAAACCCATGTGATTGGTATTAATCATTAAAATTAGAACTAAGCAGTCTCCTTCCCTCTGCCCCTAAACATTTCTCACCAATTTGGGGTCAGTTTCTTCATTAAGAACTGCTTCATTTTTAATAAGAGCAACTCGTTGTGCAAATCTGCAAGTTGATATAGATTCCTAGAAAAAGAAAAATCTCGGTTATCTTAACACCATGCAACTATAGCAGACTGCTGATGACCTTGCTGAACTAAGTTTCTTTTTGTGTGCATGAGTACTCCCATTCAGCACATGGAGTGAAGCTGCAGCCTTAAGTATTGTTCCCTCCTTTGAGATCAGCTAATACTTACATGCCAGAACACGCAAAAAAAATGTACATCCCTAATGAATAAAAACAAAAAAACTGACCTCCATTAGCCAGAGGTTACAGTCATGTTTAATCAGCTGTATGATGAAGTTTTCTGAGACTTGCTAGTGCGCTATTGTAAGGATAAATATGAGAATTTACAAATCTAAAAATTAAACATTAAAAGAACATCACTATAAGTACAGAATGGTATCACAGAATCAAAGTAATTTTGTAGTAACGTAGAAATAATGTTAAACTTTCCTTTTGTAAGGATGAGAATGAAAGTATATACACTTGAATTTCAAACTGTAATAAAAGTCAAAAGATGAGGATATTTTCTTAACTGAAAACTTTTTTTTTTTTTTGAAAATATATAGAAATAACAAACAAACCTCTATGTTTCTTTTGTCTAAAGAGAGAGTTGCAATCATTGTGGTCATGCAGTTTCCTCCCAGACTGTCCCTTAGCACCGAGGTCATCATGGAGTTTCGATAGGGAATGTGGGATCTGTTTTTCTCTGCAAGTGCAATTATTACCTGGAACAACAGAAGAAATAGAAAAAGCATTCAAAGAAGTTACAACTATGCATCCAGTTAGCTGAAAAACTCTGATTTTATTGGTATAACTTTCACTTCAGCTTCATTGTGTCTGCATCTTTATAGGCACTGAACCTAAAAGCCAAATACGGCTAGTGTTATTACATCCTAGCTTTACAGTCACTCAGCAGTATGGAAACTGAACATAACATAAAAATAACAGATTTGCCTAAGATGTAATAACTTACTGAAGATACTTTTCCCTAGAATAATATTAAATTAAAATATGAATAGTATTCATGTAGAAACTTCCCTAACATCGGCTGAAGCACACTTTTAAAAGACACAATCTTAAAGCACACGGTTCTTAGAGAGATCAGTCCCCTGATTTCCAAGAAAGTGCCTTGAAAAATGCATATGCTATTAAAAGAGTGCACTATTACAGCGTACCAGAGAAAAACAACAACAGTGTTTGGCATATATGTCTTGGCCAAAAAGGAAATGATACACCTAACGTTCTCAGCTTTTTACATTATGGGACCTGATCATCATTAAATAAAAAGCTAAGTTGTATTTCAACAGACTGTGGGGTAAAAGATTTGAACTGACAGCTGCCCAAGCACTGTACTTCAAAAAAAAAAAAAAAAAAAAAAAAAACCAAAACAACTGTAGTTACATGAGCTGTGCAAGCTATTGTAAGTGGCTAGGAGTTGGCTTTCCTTCAGTAAACATTCTATAGCTCCATACATCTTTTTTAATACAAAAAGAAAAATTGTTGCTTTAGAAAATTTAGTACTAATATTTTTGTTGGCTCCTTTATCTTAGAAGTCTTCAAAAAGTTCATATTTCTTATTACTATAAATCTTATGCCAGCAGTCCTCGAGGGAGTCGATGATAATATGAAAATTATTATCACGTAAAGGAATCAGAGTACAGTTTCCTGGATCCAGGTTTTAAAATCTTGTGTACTACAGCTCATTAGATGAAAAGATACTATCTTACATACTAAGTAATATTCCAAACTAACATATATATTGTATTAACTTACACTAATATAGAGTATATATTAAATAAGTATACTCTCAGATTCTTCTGTACGGAGATTACAATCCAAATTGGTAAAACACGATAAGAGCCAGAGGGAAGATATCTTATTTCTGCTAATAACAGCAACTATGTTACAAAGAAGTTCAATTTTTGCTGAAGTTCGTGCAGGAAGTCTGAAACTCAGGAAGAATTTGAGCTTTCTGACACTGTGCTGAAAATCTACATAACTATCTCTCATGATGCTGAAGCCTCTGTCACATACAAGAGTCACATAACTCAGGAGATGATGGCATTAAGTCCCTCAGGTAAAACCTCGCCTAAATCAATTTCACAATCCAGTCAAGAAATCTGTAAAAGAAAGGTGGACAAATATAAAGGATAAGGAAATTATGTTCTTTAACCAAGTGACAGAGATCAGCGTACATTATCCAGAATCCAGAACTGACCTGAATCTTCTAACAGCCAGCAAGGTGTGATAACCAAATAATTGGCTTATTCTGACATGACTTAAAAGGACATTCATTATCATTGTATTATAGAAAGATTATTATTATTTTTGATATTGTTAGGTCTGATCTTAACAGACCTTAATAATATTACTGAACCAGGACTGCAATATGATTATTTAAATCACAGTTTAAGGCAGAGAGTTTCATTTCCAAGAAGTGAAATAAACTAACTTGAGACCTCATTAATCTGCTAAACCTGAAAGTTATCAGATATAGCATCACTTTTTGTAAAATTGCACCTTTAATGAAGCATAACAGCAGAGAGCAGTTACAGTCACTCACATATTGCTTAGCTTCACTGAAAAATTTAGGAAAAGCATTAAGCAAAAAATAAGATTTGAGACTTACCATCAGTTATTATATGTTACGCATGTTATGCTCAAGAGTCCCTGTTCTTGGCTGTATAGCTAATGCAGCCCTGTGTTTTAATTACTAAGATTTAGATAAACGAAAATTTTATTTCAGATGAGGAATGGTCAACTCAAACACTTTTAAAAACTGCAGCAAATACACAGTCTTGATCAACTGAATATGGAAACCAATATTAAAAACACACTGAACATTGTTCACTGGAATTGTAGTAAAAGTAAACAGCTTCATGCTGTTTGAACTTTACCTGCTCTAAATAATGTAATGATAAGTTGATATATTTGGCTTCTGTCAATAAATGACCTCCAACTCCAGTCTTTGCAACACGCTCTGATCCTGCAAGGTCTACTAAGTGCAACTTAGAATGTCGGATAGTTGGAGATCCAGGTTCCTTGCTAGAGATGTGAATAGTGAAAATGCAGTGAGATCGAGTTGAGGCTTGGTTCATTGGGGTCTACAACAAAAGAAAATTGAGAGTGTTGAATGCTTATTTAATATATCCATTTTGCTTTTCATATCTTTAAAAATCAGGAAATTGTAATTATCTAATCATGAGCTACTTCACCTATAATATCCATGCAAGAAGAAACCAGAGGATTTACCCACTCACTTTCCAGTCAAGTGCTTGGGTAAGTTTAGTTGAGACAAACTGTACTGCAAGCAAGCAGTTATGTTTCTGTTCCTTCTGAGATATTCTAATACTGAGGACATCAGCAAAGCAGCTGGCCTCACTATACTAAGGAATGCTACTAGTAAAGGACATACAGATCATAGAGCAGTTTAATAATTCCTGATCACCAAATGGTTACCTTTTACCCTGATATCATTGTGAACTGCTCTTCCCTCCCCTCCTTCTTGTTCTGTTTTCTTATATTCAAACAGGTTTGAATGTTAAATATCCTTTGAAAGCTAACAAGCATAATGAACACATCTGGAGAGATACAGAAAACAGTTAAGCTTGTTTGTTAAAACTCCTTTCTATAAAACTGTCAGGATTACGAAAATTCCCTACTATTCATAAATCAGAATTTTCCTTAGTCTTCGTTTTGCTCTTCACATACTTAAACTTTGAGTTGTCCTTGATCACCCTTGCTAGATTTGATTCCAAGCAGGCCTTAGCTTCGCTGGTCACATCTGTGCACACAAACTTCACTTCTATGTTCCTCCCAAGCAGCCAACCCCCTTTCCATATTCTACTGGCTTTGCACAAAGCCTGGCTTCTAGCTTTCAATCTCATTACCAGAATTAGTTCATTTTAACCATTTTGCTAGATATCAGCATAGCTAAGAATAGAATTTTCTGTAAAACTTTAGACTAAAATTTTCATTTTTTCCAAAAAAAATTAACTTTGCCAACTCACAAGTTTGCATGTCATGACTGAATTTTGACAAAAGGTTTAGCTTTGAATATGTATATGTATTAAAGAGTCACAGAATTATAAGGACTGGAACCTCCAGAGTCCATCTAGTTCGACTTTCAGATACATATTGATATAGTTCCTGGCATACTTCTTTAGTTAGACATATGGAAATTGTCGGCCACTTTTTAGACTCCTTGCTTTTAGTTTCCCAATACATTTAGGATGGGGAACAAAACTTAAAGCAACACCCACATATTTATTTTTATCTTCAAGTGATCAGATACCATCACACATGCATCTTCCTTTTAATAATAGCATCTAAAAACTTTTAGTTGCATCTGCTGTTAGAAATATAAAAAGAATTCTTATTATGCTCATTTTATAAATGGCAAATGGATTTGCAAATTGCATATTTGAATATGTACTGAGATTAAAGATTTGCTACACAAATCATTATTTATGAACTCTTACAAGTATAGCAGCATTGTTATCATGATATAAATATTTGACTTGCAAAAAAAAAAAAAGGTAGCAAAATAAATTAATATTTTATTTTTGGTTAACAACTAAATTTAAAAAAAAAAGTCTAAAAAATCCTGATTAAATTCTACAATTCGATCTCTTGTCTGCATGTTATTTCTGTTATACTGGAGCAACTATTTTCCAGTCATATCTAGGGATTCAATATACATTTGCCAACACATTACTTCTTTTCCCCCTATGCTCTGCTTTGATATGAAGCATGCTAGATGTTCAAATAGCTTGCCAGCAACACGTTGAAGATTTTTTTGTTAATTTGATAAAAACAGCTCTTAACAGAAAAACTGCAAGCTGAACATTCCTAGTAATACGAATAGCTATTACCTTTTGGTTGAATCAACTGTAGTTCAATTTTCCAGCACCTATCTCCAGCCCTGGTGCAGCTTGCTGCTCCTCTACAGCACCAGCATAACTGAACTGGTATTGGGAATTGATCCAGTTAAAAAAAAAATAAATGCCTGTAAACCACCTGAATCAGCTTCTTGTAGCAATCACAGTGCAGATGTACAAAGCACTTGTACAAGAATAATTGAAAATGGCAGCACAGAGTGTATGAACAAGTAGGTAGTGACCAGGAATAATTTTATTAATGCCGCAAGTTTAAACATCTGTAATAAAATTACAGTCTTAGCTGTATTTCCTAGCAGGGTGAAACTCAGAGCGGAAAAGTTTTGGTCATTTAGTTAATACAGATAAGGAATTTTGGAATAAAAAAGGCAAATCACTGGCTCCACTTCCAGATTTCTAAGGATCATTTCATAATCCTGTATAGCATATTAGAATACAGCTACATGATATGATGCCTTCAGGGACAAAGCCAAACGAACAAACGGGCAGCGAGGGGTGGCATGGAAACAAAAATAAACAGGTTCAGGGAAAGTTACAGGTCCAGTTCGAAAAGCAAGAAAGCTCTCCTAAGAATAGGTAAAATACAGTCTGTACAAAAATTCTGATTTATTTATTTTACTATGAGAGCTCTGATTTTATTATTTGCAGCTCTGCAAAGCAGGATTGGATATTCTATTTTTCCAGCTCTGAAATCTCAGGAAAATTAAAATTTAAGGACATTCTTCACCACAATCATTGCACGAGTCACACTGCAGTGCAGACAAGCCTAAGCCAGACTAAATATCTGTATGAGTCTAGCTTTAGAAACATAGGAGATGAGGAAAAGCTGCTAAATGTATTCAAGAAACAGACAGTACTTCAGAACAAGCATTCTTCAGTTTCACTGTGCAGTAAAAACTCATGTATTTCAATATATACTTTTAGTAATACCTGTTTAACCCCAGAAGAGGGGAAATAATTTATAAAAAAAAAAAAAAAAAAAGAAGAAAACAGGTCTGAACACCAAGTTTCAGAATTCCGAATGTTAGCTCAGTACAACATTTGCACTATTAGGAATTCATTGTCTATGGCAAAACGCAACTTGATTTTTCATGTTAAAAGTAGGTTGTGCTGGATTGGTCATTAGATACTCCATTGTTTTCTTCTCAATACTTTTTTTCAAATGTAAAATGAATGAAGCTGATTAGGAAGTCACTGCCTGGGATTCTAAACTATTATTTTAATACAGTCCTTCTTCATAGTAGTATCATGCTTTAAACAATACACTGACAGAAATGAACTGTAAAAATGTATATCTCCATTTTGCTGTACTCATATAACAGAACCATAAAGAACCCTCACAGGAAGTGCAAGGCACAAATTTGAACAGACAATAGTTCATTCAATTTCAGACACAGATGAGCCCTGAGCATGTCAACAAAGAGATTGGGCTGCATGACCTCAAAAATCTCTTGCATATACTTTCCAGTATCAGAGCAAACACTGTTGCTTTACCACAGTGTAATCATGAAGGAAACAATATTTTATTGAATACCTGTTTTACTATAAGAGTACATGAAAAGCACAAAGCAACAGAAACGTCAGTGTTTTCAGTCCAAAATTAAGGACATTTTAAAATATTTTTACAGTCATATATGGAATTTTTGACTATCATGATTCAGGTGTTTAGGAAATTTGATAATAGAAAAAGCCAAACAAAATCTGCTAAACAGTACCTCAGAACTTACTACAAAGTTCCTTCAGTGGCTTTTGGAGATCATTTTGGCTTTGTTAGCAGTATTCCAAACATATGTATATGAAATCATACTCACTCTAATTTGATGAGATGAAGGGAAAAAAAGAAGAGGGGAATGGACTGGCTTTTAGCAGATGGTTACTATTGTGAAAGCTATATATAGAACAACAGATGAGCTGCAGTCACTTTTAAAGAAATATTTTTTTTTTTCATGAATTCTGTGACATTATGAACCACATAAGCAGACTTCAGATTCTTAGTGACACCCGTGAAAAATACAAAGGAATTAATAGCAGGTCAACTGTTGCTGCCCGTTTGTGGCATGGTAAAAAGAGGAATTCAGTAACATATCTTTCAAGGTCACATTTTCATAAAGCAACATTGTTTGGTTTGATGATGGAAAATGTAGACAAGCCAGATTTCCAGGACATGCAGTCTAGTTGACTTTTCAACAAGATCTGGGCAGACCTGGGGCTGCCGAAATTAAATAAAATGTTTTACGCCACATAACTACTATACATTACTATTCATACAGCAGTTACAAGAAAGTGGTTTCTAATTAAATGAAAACCCACTGGGCGGCCAAATTGCAAGAAGCATCCAATTTGGATGCTTCTGTCAAGCATTATCATCTCACAGAAGGTCTAGAAACTGTTGCAGCCCAAGTAATCCACCTTTTCAATTGTATCTATCTTACAAGAAATGATGCATTTCCCAATCTTTTGTTTGCTGAAGCTAGTATTACAAGTGTTTTTAGTACAAAGAGTAGTAAGAAACTGGAGGCTACTGGCCTCATTAGGGTTCTTAATGACTGAGTCCTTAAGAAGGAAAAGCTTCTTAAATAGAAAAAATGTATGAAAGACTGAAAACAAGCATTAGACCTACACAGGCTGCTACAGTCTGGAAGAATGTATTGATTATAGTTGCCAAATACTCCCAGAGAAAATGCAGAAGAGTTCAGGACAGCTGAGACAAAAAGATCTCACAAGCATTAAATGCAGCCATTCAGCCTGTATCACAAACTTAACTCAACTTGGCTGCTTAATATTGCTTCAGTGGAATCTTTTCTTCTTTGAATTGAACTGTTCAGACATTGAAAAGAATATGATTTTTTCTGTATGAGTGAATTAGCAAATAACCAGTGCACAAATGAAGGAAGGTTGATCCCTCTGTTTATGGGAATAGCCCCATTTTCTTGAGAGAATGTCTCAGTGGAAAGGTACAAGTTTTTATTTTTCTCTGTGCTCTTTTTCATTATCAAGTGTTTAACAAGGGCTAGTAGAAAGCACTGAGAGCATCCAGTGCAGATACCAAACAGACTTCCTCTGGTCTCTAGATACTACCAGATGGATTACTGAATAAAGGAATTCTGACAGATTTAGTCCTTTTACAGTTCAGATGGCAAGAAAATAGCTGCTGTGTACTACAAGGTTGATAATAAAGCAGCTTAATGCTACCTGTTTTTCTGGTTGAAATTCATCCTTAAAATGTTCTAATGGTTCATAGAAGAGTACAAATTGCAAAGTGAAAGGAGTAGAGACCCTTGTGTTGGAAAGCAATAAGTATATCTGCCTAACCCTTCAGGTTTCTACAGAACCATATTACGTGGAAGAGTTTGTAAATTCAAGAATAGGAAGTTCCTGCCTTCATTTTTGGTAGATGATTGAGATCTTAGTTCTTCTTTAGTTCCCTTTGGTTGATACAGTTGAAGTGGAGGGGACTTCTGGAAGTATCTAGGTATGCTTGTCACAGTTACAATTGCAAATTCATTGCTATGAAAAATACAAATAAAGTAAATGTTATCTGACTTCCCTGATTTTGAAACCCAACGCTCTATGTCTCACCATTGCATAATCGCAGTAAGTGCAGTTTCCCCTTTAGATCATGGTAACTGAGGTAGCTTCAAGTAATTATTTCCCAGGGAGAATATTATTTACGTTATACAGTGCCTTTTATCCATATGAATCCTAGAGCATTTTAAGGACTACTCAAAGCAATATGTATGACACAGTAATTGCTTTACCACATACTGAAATGAAAGCACCTGCACTGAAATGGTGATGCCATTTGCTGCTGATGTTGCTATACAGCAGGTTTGTAAGAATATAAATAACTTAGCAACTGACACCAATGAGCAATCTTGGAAAGCAGAACATTCTAATTCATTACAGAATGAAGCTCTAACTTGGATAACACACTTTCTTAGCAAGTGTCACTAAATCTGGTATGTTCACATGTTCAAATCCTGTTTTTCATATTTCCTCTAGAAAGCAATGAATTCAAACACTACCAGTGGCTCCCTAAATATACTTCTGAGAACAATAATGGACAGTAAAAATAAAAGAAATGAGTCCAATTCATAGGTCACAAGTCAGTCCCCATAACTATCCTTAAATGTTTTAAAGTTTCCTTTCTTGAAAAAACATACTTAAACATTGCCAAAAACTAACTGCTTCTCCCATGAGTACTTTAAATGTTTTAAATGATGGAACAAATACTGTGCAGTATACACTGTCTTCCAAATTTAAACAATGGAGTATTATAGTTGCAAAACCATTGAGTAAAAACATTTCCTTCCACAGTAAAATGAAGCGATTCTTCATTAGAGGAAAAACAAACGCTAAACATACCCACAACTGTAGTATTCAAGAGTGTCAATCTCACAAAAAGATTTTAAAGTTTTGAGATTGATATGTGCTCCTGGAAGGCTACTGTCTCTACCTTATTCTGCTGTTTTAAAGGAAATACTAAAAAGAACTAAGAAATAATTAAATCACAGAGGTTCAGTATATTACTCCAAAGGATAGTGATAACAAGAGCTTCTGGTTTCAAGATATTAGAAAAGAACATTTAAACAGAAGGCATATTAATAGTATATATACAAAAACAAAATGACTGTGAACATTAATGAAAACTAAATGAGCTTTTTAAGATGCCTTTGCTACCAGTCATATATGCAAATTAATTTTTGAAATACCTTGTTTGCTTGTATCTGAGCTGTCTAAATCATACAGTTGATTTAAAAATGTAAATATAAATAAATTCATATTTTTCCACTAAATTACTGCTGAGATCCTTATGCTTTCAAACAGTACAAGAGACTATGCTTTGTAGGGATCACACAAATGAAAGAGCAGCCAACACAATAATCAGTTTTTTGAGTTTATACTCTTCCCATTTCCTCCTGGCAAAATATAAGAGAAACATTTCCTATTTAGATTTTTATGTTAAGAAGCATTTATGCATTCAGTTTTTTTTTTTTTTTTTTTTTTTAATTTTTTTTTCATTTCTATAGCCCATAGCACACATCAAAGCTGGAACAAAGTATTGCTCTCATACTGGGCTATAAAAATCAACTCTGCACTAATTAGAGCAGGTTAATATTCCCCTCCCCCATATCCATCCCTTCCGTCCCCCCCTTACTACCTACATGATTTGTATAGGTAAGAAGTATCCTGTTTTAAGTTTCCTTTTGGGTTCAGTTATTTAATGAATAAATGTAGCCTACAGAATATCTTGAAAATTATTAACACTTCTTGTTATTACAAGGGCAAAAATACAGCCATAAAGCCCCAAGAAACCATTCTTATTTTCAAAACTGTACCACAACTTTTCAATAAAGGATTATCACAGGGCTAGGCTATTAGACTGCCATTCTAGAGACTGCAATCCTGCCACATATTTCTTATTCAATCCATGGCAGTTATTTTAGTCCTAAATTCCTCATCATTAAAAAAAAAAAAATAATAAATGTGATAGATAAAGCAGTTTTGTTTACTTACTTTTCTATTTAAGTTAACTCATCTTACGTCTTTTAAAGCTTACTGCAATAGTGTTTTCATTTTTTTTTGAGGTCAGGAAGCATTACCACAATTCTATTAAGGCTTAAAAACGTGAATCTCTAGAGAACTTACAGTTGATGTCATAAATCTCTATCTTAAATCACATAATTTATCTCTAATTTCTGAAAACACTCACTCCATTAAGTGATATTACAAATTACTCCCTTCACCTTAGGTCAGAAAGCCCAAAGGATAACAAGTGGTAAGCTTTATAGCAACTAGGGAGAAGCCCCACTCAGAAAACTCTCTGAATTGAAACATACCTGTCGCAAAGCAACAATGAGATAACTACCTTAAAAAACCTCTACAATTAAATCCACCTATATAGTCTTTTTTTTTTTTTTTTTTAAATCACGTTAGCATTTACACGAAGTGTATATTGCTGCAATAAGCAAGAAAATATTCCCTCAGCATGCTGAGGAACATTTTTTCTTTACTACCCCGAGTTAAACAGTACTAAAGATAACTTTATGTAGTTAATAATAGTAAAAGACACTCACATTAGTGAATTTTCTACCAGTGTTATTGACAAGTTTCCAGACTCCCGAAGAAAAAAATAACAACAACACAACGCATAGCACTACTTATAATTTGTATTCAAACACATCTTCATCTGTATCACCAGATGAATTAGCAGCCAGCAACAACAGAGAGCTACTTACTTGACCCTATGCTTCAAAATTCTTCCTCCTCACTAGCTTACTACATATCTCTTTAGTCAGAGAGGAAAAAAAAAAAAAAAAGCAACAACAAAAACAACTCTAGCAGATTCTAAAATGCAATTAGCTGCACTACAGTGAATAAAGACTAATGATACTGTAACATGATAAAAAACACAACAACAAAAATAGAGCAGCATGATCCCAGGCTACAACAAACAAGGGTTCACTCAAACATGACAGCCATAGATACAGAAAATCCAGGAAAGAAGCTGCTTATCCTCAGAAGCCCTTACCCATGGAAGGATCTCCAGCAAGACACCCTTATCTTCGCATCCAATCCTTAAATGATGTCTGGGAAGGGGTGGAGTCTGGATCCACTCCTTCCAGTCATTGCATGCACCTGAGCTTCCCTGAGTTGGCCCTGCCTTCCCACCAGGTGCTCAATCATTGGTTTGAGCCCTCAGTTAGCATTTCCACTACCCACCCATGTTTTATAAATGAAAAAACACATTTTTGTTTTCCTTGTTTTAATTGCAGCGTATTATTTAATCAAAGGCCACCGTTCAGAATCACTAAGGAAAACAAAGTGAAAGTTATAATCAAAGAAATGCTTTAATTACATTGTGGAAACACTTCTAAAGGAAGAATTTCACATTCATTTCTGAGGACTTCTAAAATATGAATCTTTTGAGGAGATGTTTAGAAATGCTATAATTCTTTTGCAGTCAATTAAGATTTGTAGCAGCAGTTCTTACCTCAGCAATCATTCTGTTAGTGTCTCCCAAGAAGAGCAAATTTAGGGCTTCCTCTTCATTGCTTGCTTGCTGAAGAGATAGGTTTTTCAGGTGAATGTTCTGGTCGGGGTCTTCCATTATTGTCACTTTTCTATGTGATAGGAAGAAAGAACAGAGAAATAGAATTACTGTACAGTTAACTTTGTTCTCTATTTTTATTTGGATTGCATTAGAAGGTAACATCTAAAAATGCAAAATAATCAAAACACTGAAAATATCAAATGGTGAAGGCATAAGTTAAAGGAAGTTTTTTTTTTTTAATTTTATACTGCCATCTTTTTTTTTATTCCTTTATCCAAATGGAAAAAGAAATTATAAAAACTGTGCCTACTAGAGAACACTTCAGAAGTTTTTTTGGTAAGGTAGAATGAAATCTCAAGAATAAGATGTTAGATGAATCATCACAAACAAATAATGAGTAGGGCTTCTGTCTGCTATTGCCAGTTATTAAGCACGAATGAAGCATAAAACATAATTATGATGAAAAATAGGGATAGAATATTTCAGGACCATCACACCTGTAGCCAACATGATTCTAGTAATTTGCATTTTTTCAAGACTATTTCTCTTCTCATTCTTTGAATGCTGCTAATTAAAAATGTTAACGATTCTTTTCTTCATTAAAAGCAACAAATAAAAATAGGATGTTTTTATTTATTTCCTCTGAAGCTAGAAATTTTGTAAGATGTACCTCTTCAAGCCTTATATTTCAGAAGGTAGTTAAATGGAAATGGCCTTAATCACAAAGATGTGGTAGATACTCTATGCTTAGAGGCATTCAAGGTCAGGCTGGGCCAAGCTTTAAGCACCCTGATCTAGCTGTAGGTGTCCCTGTTCATTGCAGGGGAGTTGAACTATATGACCTTTAAGGGACCCTTCTAACTCAAATGATTCTATGATATAGCAAAACTCCAGGAAAATTACTTACCATCACTGAAACTCTTTCTGAATTACTAAACAGACTTCTTTACATAAGAAATTTTTCTTTTAATAGAGTAAGTGAAAGTTACACTTAATTAGCTTTACTGAGTACCCGTTAGGGTCTCCTAAGCTAGTGCAGCCTGTAATATCCAAAATACAAGTCAAGTAGTTGCATTACTGAATTTGGAAAGCTCACTGAGTTAAGGCCATTCAAAGTGTTAAAAAGTGTGTTAAAAGTGCAGTAACTGCTGAGTCAAGGCCTTAATTACTGATGGAACACCTGAGGAAAGGAGTGGGTCAGCCCTGGGCGCACAGGTGAAGGCAATTCAACTGTGCGATCAGAAGGGGGTGGAGCCTGGTTGCACCTCTCTTGGACCCTATTTAAGGGCTCACTACCCCTAGGAAAGGGTGGTGGTGTCTTTTTTTTTTTTTTTTTTTTTTTTTTTTTTTTTTTTTCTTTCTCTCCT